AATACTAGTACTAATACCCATGTACAACATGGGTGTTAAGTTAATGAATATATGTGTAAAGTTATTTATGTCTAATACCAAACTTAACTCCAGAGCAAAATAAATATAAAAACAACATCACGAAGCATATATTTTCGTCATGTCAGCATCCGAAGCGTGAGAATCTGCCATTTAGACTCAACACGTTTGAATTAATATATAGGTAGGGATGTCAGTCAATATGAACTAATTAAGTTTTTTCTGCCGCGAATTTGGACTTGTGTTATTTGCCAGTAATATTTATTTTTTTTCTTTGTATATATATTTTCTTAAAGAAATACTACTCCCTCTTTTATGTCTAGATACATAACAAAATGGATGAATCAAAAAAGTCAAAACGACATTTATTTTAAAAAAGAGGTAGTATTACTCTTTTAAAACCAACTTTATAATGTAGATAAAGTATAACATTATCATCCATAATTATGATGAATCTATTTATTACACGGTTAGGCACATTTACTCACCAAATGCCACAAATGGTGTAGCCGTGCATGGTACATGCCGAGAGAGTCCTGTGTGATTTTTCATCATTGATTATTGATACTAATAAATGCCTTATTATCTAACTTATCCTTTATTTTCCAAAACAAATAAATGCGTTATTTATGAATTCCTCTTGGAAAAAAGTACATCCATTTGCAATTTTCATGTATCTCCGAGTATTATCTCTACTCTAGTGTAAAGTTTATTCTAGTCTACAGTAGAATGAAACAAAAATTAAGTTTCATCTCCAACTGTTTCTTCTACATTCTACTCCACATAAAATATTTTTATTATCCTCTTTGTTTTAAATTATTTAATATCAACATATTATTAAACTATAGATATTATTTTACACACAGTTAATTATTTAAGTTATCATCACACAATTAATAAAAACAAAAATTTAATAAATATAACAATATTTATATAAAGATTATTTTGTTTACTTAAATAATATTAATAATACGAATTCATTAACTTTTAGTCATAAATACGAATTCATTAACTTTTTTATTTAATTAAGAGAAGTTTAAGTTTTTATAAAAGTTACAACTATCCAGTACTTAAAGATCATTATCTTTTTCCATGATTATAGGGAGGAGTGATATCTTTATTTCCCCTTCATTTCTACCGTAGATCAAGAAAAGAAAATTGTTTTTCTCTCTACATGCCTCGGGTCCTGTGTATCTTCTTCACAAGAAAAAAAAAAAAAAAAAAAAACTAATCTTCCCTAAACACACAAAATACATCTTCCCAGTCTTGAAATTTTCAACCGCCAAAAAAAAAAAAAATGTGGCAAATCCGTCAAACAGTGAAGACGAAGCAAAATTAATCCTCTCCCAATCTCGTCGAACATCTCAATTTCAAGCACCCTAACGTAAGATCGTCCAAAAGAACTCCAATTTCACAAAATTGCAGCTCCAAGAGGTTTCAAAAAATCGACTCCCAAGACGGACAAAGTTAATTCCGACGGAGACGACGATTTTGTGTTCGAACAAAAAAAAAAATGTCCGATGACAGGAAGAGACAGGGGTCAGAGGCAACAAGGGTAAACAAAGACTGTCGGTTCTCCTAAGTATCAACAAGAGTCCGATTTGAATTTCATACTTGATGAAGAGGAAAAAGAACATTCAAGTGAAGTGGTCGAACATCTCAAATGACTGCAATGAGATGGGCTTGGACACGTGTGTGACTTAGGTTGTTTATATCTCGTTTATATAAATGTAAATTAACGTTATTTCAATATGTCATATTTTTGTTTATCTTGTTTCAGGATTGTTTATATGCTGATTATTTTATGTATAACTATACGTATTATTTTTGGATTTTGTAGTCATATTTGTTTATCTAATGTATATATTTACCATAACTATACTATGTGTAATATATATGTTCTGCCTATCTATATACATGAATCAATTGTCTCAGTGTTTCCAATATGTGAGGACATGTTTATTTGATGTATATATAGTACATATATCAGTGAAAATTTCACGAACAATATTTTTTTTCTTTTCTGAGCCCCATCAGTGTTTTTTTTTTCAGATAGATGGATGATTTTTTTTTTTTCGCCTGAATGAGATCGAGGAACAAAGATCTCGTTTGAAATTTTGAATTCGTGAAAGTATAAATTGTAGGTACCATATTTTGTATTCTTTTTCAAATTCCCTTTTTATTTGCATAGGTTCCGCCAAAAATTGATTGCATATTCAATATGGAGAGAGAAACTAATCATTAGGAGAGAGAGAAAAAGTAGCATCTAGATGTGAAATAAAAATTACATCCAAATCCCTTTTTGATTATAATTTTTACTCTACGTATGTGTGTAAATATCTCTTACATAGAGTTTACATATCTAAATTTCCCTAATTATTTGTACCCATTTTTTCATAAAAGCATATTACTTTACCTAAAAAAATATAATAAAAAATAGATACATTTCTAAAATTATATCATAAATTACTCCCTCCTATGTATTATAAATGTCGTTTCGACTTTTTTGATTCATCCATTTTGTTATGTATCTATACATTAATATGTCTAGATACATAATAAAATGGATGAATCACAAAAGTCAAAACGACATTTATAATGAACAAGAGGTAGTATATATTGTGTCAAAATTATGTATTAACATTCATAGTACACAAAAAAAAAAAAAAAAAAAAGTAATGTAGTGTGGAGATATAAATATATCCATCGTTTATCTACCCTTTCTTGGGTGAGTGCACGTAGCACCAAAAAATTATCTTTAGAGAAGTTACTGTAGATTTGATATTTTAATATTTTCTTAATTAATGTCTTTATTTATTTTTGGACATAATTCCAACATACATAAGATATATAATTACTAAAATAATTGTTTATTTTCCACCAAATCAAATCTTAGGATAAAGAAAGATATTGTATCAAATAATGATGGACTAATCAAACTAATGTCTTCTCATCCACTACGCTCTCTCCTACACCTATAAATAGAGGGTCTACCAAAACCAAAAATCATACATCATAAATTAAAGTCTTAAATTCGAGAACTTTCAATAGTTATCTTGAAGATCAAAAGGTGTTCTTGAAAATTAAAGTCTTAAATTCAAGAACTCTCAATAATTATCTTGAAGATCAAAAGGTATTCTTGAAAATTTTGTAGACATTCTTGGAGATTCAAGGACATTGAATTCGAAGATAGACGATCAATCCGGTATCAAGCCTTAAAGCTTCCAACATACGTTCAAATGGAGAAGAAGACTAAAAAAAAAAGGCAGTTGTTCTTCTCCAATAAATAAAACAACAACATCCACTTCTCTCAAATCAATCCAAAGACATCAACTGCGTCCAAACGATATTCAAGCCACATTCATGGAAAAGTTCAAGCAGTATACTATCAAGTCAACGTTATTCAAGTCTAAATATATTTGAAGATCAAATCCAAGTCTATAAAGAGAAGAATCGGAGGGTTTCATATAGAGATTGTATTGTAATGTAGTTTGATCAAAATAAAATCTACTTATACAAAAGTTTTATGTTTTTTTTCAAAAAATTTATTGTCACAATTTTGGCATGCCCGAGATGATCTCTACCTTTAATCTCTTCTCTTCAAATCAAGTTCAAAGATCTTTGGGGGAAACTGAAGATAAAGGCTCGTCAAGCCATGTAGCTGCAGAAAAGCGCCGATTTCATCAAACTCATCAGAATGAAGGCGAAAAGAAATGGTCTTTCATATTGTTCTTAAATTCCACGGGGGCAATTTACATAAAGAGTTCCATCAAATCAAAACCTAGCTCTCCTTGATATGAGCCTAAACTCTCCATAAAGTTGTTCGATCTGGAAAAAAAAAATTATCCAAACTCCAAATCATCATGCTTCTTGATTTGAGCCTAAACTGTCTATAAAGCTCCTTGATATGAACTTAAGCTACCGATAAAGTTCCTCGATATGAACAAAAACAATTAAAATCCTCAAATTCAAGTTGAAGATCGGCGTTCAACCCACAACCAAACAACCGAACCTCTAAGTTCTATGAACTACTTTCCAATTTCAAAAGTTAATTGCAACTAAGGCTTGGGGCTGATGTGGATCATTTGATTTGAAGTCAAAGCTTTCTAATCCCGCCACATAAACAACAATCATCTCATGTAAGATTTAAAAATGTCACGTCGCTATTTTATCTAGGGTGCGGATAGAAAATAACCAAAATTAATTAAATTATCAAAGTATTGAACTCAATTTAAAAATGGTCAACGATTCGATGAGAAATTGGACTTTTAGCTAAATTATATGAACAATTATATGAAACATTTCTAAGAGCTTAAAGCCAACATTACCTTGTTTGTTATATCAATTAAAACTGAAACATGGTGTACTTAGATTTTCAATTAACTTAATATTTACTCTTATTAATTAAGAGTTACAGCTATATTTGATCTTTTCCAAATCTCATGACCTCAGTGGTCAATTCCATTATGTAACGTCATAATC